TTTAGTCGGAGTGCGACGATGGAGGAAAAGGAAGTACCCATCCAGCCTGTAGTAAGGGTAATTCTTCTTCTTGCAATAGGCTTCGAGGATGTTCAAAGTCGAAGTATAGTGAGAAACCAATACACATTTCTCTTCCGTGTCCTAGTCCGCGTCAGGACACTTACGGCTGGTCGCAAGCTAGAAGACGAACCTCTCGTATGCTTCGAAGCAATCGTGATACAATAATGAGTTTTCCTATCATGCCGTTAGCCTGTTGTCCGTTTGTGACTGGCCATGAAGTGTCGCAAAAGCTTACCGCTTAGGGACATATCCTCGATGTGTGTTTTTGTCGGGAGCAGCCGCGCGGCAGATTCCAAACCAGGTTTCAAGGTTGAAGGTGAATCCGCCTTCGCCTTATCTACCGTGGCTTTCAAGAGCACCGGGCTATTGCTGACTTTGGTCAACATATTGATAAGGGAGAGTGACTCTGCCGTGGACCCTTGAACAATGTCGTCCACTTGACCAGGTTGCAAAAGTTTGTCAAAGATGGCCAGTTGAAGGTCAGTCGGCTTCACGAAGATGACATATTCGTCTAGGGGATAGCATAGTAGTAGGGTCAAAGTCTGGCTTGTAGAGGACTTACGTTTAGGAGGGAGAACAGACTGCAAGAGCGTAGCATCACGACGTAGCACAAAGCTTTGAGCGACAGAGGACAACTAGGGGACTGTTTGCACAAAAACTGGATCGGAAGGGATTCTCTTACCTGTTTAGAGCGCGCCTCGCCAAGTTTCTTCTCTGCAGAGGTTGCATCTGGTGACCTTGCTTTCAAGATGGGCATCTCGTAAACTCGCCGGAAGGTCGAGTAGTCGTCTGGAAAATTCATCGCAAAAGTTTCATCAAATGATGTACCGACTAACCAAGTAAGCCAGGATTGCAGAAGTCAGCCTGGTGGAACGATTAAGTGGGCAGCTTCTCATGATAAGAGTAAAACCACCCACCATGGCATGGAATTCCCTGAGGTCATTTTGGATTGGTGTACCCGACAATATGATACGCCTGGGTGTGCGAAGGCATTTAAACATGGACGTTGTTTTGTTGGTGGCAGATTTTAGTTTATGACCTAGTGGAATCGTTGGACAACTGGAAAGAGGGTGCATATCCGAGTCTGGCGAACCTTCATCACAAACAATGAGTCCGATGGGTGGTCTGAGGGCAAGTAATTAAGTTAGAAAGCGTGAACACGTATAACACTGTCTGACGAACATGCAAGCAGTTAAGTCTTCACTGAATGCCAAAAGTAAGATGGTTTCAAGGCAGAAAGGGCTGGTGCTTACATTACGGTGCGCAATTTCTCGTAGCTCATGATCAATACCTGTTGAGGTTTGCTGCAAAAACAGGTCGTTAGTATGAAATATCTGCGGGCCTGGATTTACTTACGAATGTATGAAAGTTTTTATGACATTTTTATCTTTGTCGCAAACCACAACGCCAATTCGATCACGACCAAGCCACTTATGGAACTCGGCCTTCCAGTTCTGGCAAAGCTCAGCATCGCAGAATATCGGGAGATATATGTACGTCCACTCACGTTGATGAGGGTAACTGGGCAAGCAATCAAGACTTTGCTCACTGCCGGGTTCGGTCCAGCATAGGGATTTTGTTCTACATCACTGGGTCGGTAATATATTCCAGAAATGGAGCACTTGGCTTACTTAACAGGGTCCAGATAAGAGCAATGGTCTATGGGAACTGTAGGTTAGGCCGATGAATGAAGAGGGTCTCTAGGGCCCACCTGAAGGGTTTTTCCTAAACCCCTACACCGAGTTAATAATAAAATTGAGGGAATAGAACGCGGAGAACCTACATATCATCTGCAAGGATACAGCCTTGGCCCTCGTGTCTTCTCAGACCCATAACGGATTCATACATAAATCTGACACCTTACTGGTTGTTTACAAAAGTAGGCGAAAAAAGGCTACAGCATACCTTCATGTTGATGAGGCCGCATACGTTTGGACAAGACCGGGTCGACGACAACGGGAACAACGGGGAAATTACTAGGGCCGGGTTATATTGTATCCATTCTCAAGCAGCAAGAAACACATACTGCTTGTTATGCAATTTGCTGTGATCATCCGTCGGCGCTTTCATTACGAGGGCGCCTTCGACATTTGGATCATGCCTGTGATTATCTTAGATTTAGCTCGAGTCGCCAGCGCAGACTTACCGAGGTCCTTTGAGCTTTGCTTGAGGACTCGCATAGAAACTCGCGGGAGGTACATATTTCTTGTTGAGTGAAACTGCATTTGTGTCAGGTGGCGGGTCTGGGAAGGCTTGTTGGGGAGCATCCAGCTGTACTTCTTTTCCCGAGAGTCGAAAAGTGTAGCCTGTATGCAATGTTTCTCCGTTCCAGCCCGTGGTCCCCATCCTACGAAGCATTCAGAGATCCGTGAGTTAGATACGAAGGTGCTTACATTTTTCCATTCTGGTCGGTAACTGTGAGTGCAGTTTCAGCAAGGGTTACCAATGCATCGCCGTCCCAAACGCGGTTGCTCTTGTTGGGTTGGTATTTACGCCTAAATATCCGTCAAATGAGATGCAGAGGCGTGACTAGTCATGACCCACCAGTTGGCTGTCCATTGAACAGAATTTTTCGATGAGGGAGGCAATTCTGATTGTATCGGTGTTTGCTTTGGCGAAATACTCGACGTGGGGAGACTGGGCTTCAGAGGCTTGAAGGGCTTGGTTGTGTTCGGTTGATTCTCGCGCACTACTGGCGTAGTGTCCATCCCGAAACGCCCGAAGCAAGCACCAGTAAGGTACTCTTGCTCCGCAATCGAGCGGTCAAGTTCCAACTCTCTCCCACCAAGCTCAAAGTTAGTTCCTTCGACCAAAGGAATATTAACCTTTCCTGTGTACATCCTATGATGGAAAATCAGTCCTTCACGAATCGCAGATAACAGCCAGGTTCATACATTCTCGCGTCCATATCATATAGGGTAGCTTCCTTCCCGTTGGACTTCAGGACACCATCTCCATCCCAAGTCTTATGCTTCTTTCCTTGGGGCTTCCGCCTAATTCAGCGCGTTTTAGTATTGCTCGCATGCCAGATATGTGGAAATACCATTGCACCATCCAATATGCCGTGGCCGAGTTAGTACTGTCTAAAGCAAAGCGCTTTCTTGACGCGTTGTTTTCTTCGTCTGTATCGTTTTGCTTCCTCTTTATGCTTCCATGGGGTTGAAATGCGGGCATAATGTGGGAGCGGTGAAGAGTCTGAAGACCTCGGAGTGGTAACCCAAACCGGAACCGCGTCGTGTCACGGTAGTATGATGTGACACTTCGTGTCAGCACCCACACACGGGTTGACTCAATGACTGGTACCACAGCGCCTGCTTTCCGCATTCTCAATTTCAATTTCAACTTCAACTTCAAGGCGTCTGTTCCCCATCGTCACGAACAGTCCCTTCCACCCGAAATAGTGATTTGGCGAATCACAATCGATTCCAAGACTTATATACATCGCTTTCAAGAATCTATCATTCATGTCTAGGAAAGGAGGTCATCGTCGAATATGGCAGTCTTGGGAATTCCATCTGATCGAATGACACCCCGGTACATGCCCGAGCAGTTCAGAGGCATGCCGACTACGCAGCAGTGCAATTACAAAGCTCATTAAATCTCCTCCCGGGTGGAATACTTCAAATTCGGTTCTTACCTTCACCCTGTGCATCTAACGCGATAACACCTCCGATACCACCTTGGGCGCGTAATTCCTCGACCGCCCATGCCGATGCTTCTTGGACAGTTTCGTTCAGGTATTGCATCCTGCGGGCAACTGTCGAGGCTGTTCCTAGCCTGATAAAATACTGGCCGATATTAAGTGAAATTCCGGGGAACAGGGCATGGACTTACATCGCCATCACCAGTTCCCGAGATACCGACTGCCCGGTGATTCGACTTTCCAAATACCTTGTTCAAAGCTCTCTGGAAGAAGCCCGACGATGTCCATTCTTCGGCCCAATAACCAGCTCCCATCATCGGCGTATCGCCAATACGCCCAACCAATTTATTTGTACGACCGCCGGTCGACGTCACTGCCACAATGCATCCTCGAGCATCCAACGCGACTGCTCCTACAGTTCCACGCGGAAGGTCGTCCAGGGGTATTTTCTCATCTATAGGTAAGTCCTCGGTCGGGAGTTCAAGACCCTTGCGGTGTTCAAGCCATCGATGTTTCGTGTAATAATACGACGGGTCTACTACTGTCACTCCGAGTTCTTTCCCCACATCCTCAGCCGTTGCCCCCGACAGGAAGGTATGAGGTGCAAGGGAAGGTGATAAGTATAACTCCCTTGCTAGCGTTGCTGGGTTCCGAACATGGGTAAGGAGTGTCGCTCCGATTCCGTGTCGAGTCACCGGAATCTCTGGGTGAGATGCGGGAGGCTTTGAAAGCATGATGGACGCTTCAAGCTCGTTCTATCTCGAATAAGAACATCCTTCGTTGGCCTGTAATGGTGCTCACCTTGCCTGCCATATTGAAAACGGCACCCTTTCCAGCATTGAAAAGAGGGTCATCTGTCACCCAGGGTTAGCCACATCCTGGTGAAAATGAAAAGTCTTTCCTTCCATGACATTAACAGCAGCGACTGCTGCATCCATCGCCTCACCGCCTCCCTGAAGCACCAAATGGCCCTGAAGAAATCAACTTGTGTGGCCTGTATTGTTATTTCACAGGGATACCGAGATCGTACCGCCTTAAGAGCCTCCGCGAGTGCTGCCTTGAACTGTGCTCGTCGTTCGGGACTTGCACCTTCTTTGCTCATAGTGCCTGCACCTCCATGGATCACCAGAACAGGGGAAGCATTCAGCTCTACTTCTGGCATTTCCAGCAGAGAGGGCGATAACGGAGTAAAGTGCACTGAAGGGAGAGTGATCATGATCTTTCATGACATGAGAAAGCCGGATGTGAAATTTAGGGTCTTGACAACTTATCTGCTTGTTGAAGTAGCATAATCATAGTCACTTTGCCGGAGTGGTTAACGGGATCGCCTGCTATCAGCCAAGCGGTTGGTCTTTGACCGCGAGTGTTCGAATCGCTCAGGTGACGTTTTTTGTTCCGTTGATCCAGTATCACCTTGAGCTTCACCGTAATTCGCGTAGTTGTTTGTGTACCGCGTTCACCACTCCGCCTCTTGCACATTATGAGCGGTCATAAGTACGCAGACCTTCCAGACATCGTTCGTTCTTTCTTCTGGCTGCACCCATGATTTATGACAGTTCTTTTTACAGGACACTGCTCCTGATATCTACGAAACGGAGGATGTATTCCCAACGACTCACGCCGAAGTCAGCCCTATGTTGTCTGTTAATGTGACGATTCAATCGTGATTTTTCTCTAGAAAGGGGAATCCAGCGAGGATGAATCGGTTCTGCCCTCCAGGGGCTCAAGAGGTAAAAACGCTGATCCAAGCGGGAAGGAAGAACTAGATTCCACAAGTCTGATGAGGACAGAGGACGCGAGCAAGAAATTCAGGAGGGCAGAGAAAAGGCGCGGTTGAGTACTATCTCTGAGTATTCTGGCCTATGCTCATTCGACCTCTTATGCAGAACGAGCACGTCCCCATTACGCGTATCCGCCATCTCCAGGTTCACCACACTCGCCGGCCAGTCCTTCGACGGCTACGCGTCCCTTGCCTTTGTCGCATAGATTGCGGGCTATCCAATCTGAGCTCAACGCTTTAGAGGCAGAGCTTTCTGACCCAACAAATCCACTTCTTCACAAGGAGAAAGAGGAGGATAATGTCGATCCCGGTGATCTTATTCGCGGACTGGTGGACGTGAAGAGTCGTCTTGAGAGGATAAGGAAAGGTAAAGAAGGGAGAGGTCGCTTGGTTGGTGTCGTCCTGGGCGATGATGAAGTACCATTGGAAGATGACGCCAGAAAGGGCTCGAAGGTTGATCAGGACAAAGGGCAATCCCAAGAGGTTGTGTCCGAGGTCAGGGGCATCGTAGAAATGGACAGAAGAGTCGGAGACTTAGAAAAGGTTATAGGGTCATCGACTGCAACGCTTGACGAGGTCTGTCCGTTGCTTCAATACCAGTTTCATTTACTGAATTTCCGCATAGAATTCACCACTACCCCCACCACTTCTACCAACTATCACTCGACTGAACAACCAAATCACCTTGCTCACGCAACCACGCCATATCGACTCTATATCGAGGCGGTTGAAGCTGCTTGTCTCCGATCTTGACCGTGCTTCTGCTTCACAGCATAATCATCGGCGCCAGGCGTCACAGCAAAACCAAACTTCTTCCTCCACCACACTACAGGACCAATTGCTACCCCTTCTTTCGCGACTAGCTCCTTCCCTTCCTCACATCCCCCATATTTTAACTCGCCTTCGTACACTCGCAACTCTTCACACCGCAGCCGCTGATTTTCAAGGGACTCTCGAGGGAATTGAAGCGGACCAACAAAAAATTCGGGACGCGTTACGCGAGCTGGAATCCGCTGTTCAGACGGTTGAAAATAGTTTAGATGAAAACCGGAACTTGGTCAAAGGGAATATCTCTGGCTTAGATGGTCGCGTCGACCAATTGATCACACGGCTTGACGATTTAAATCGCACAAGTGGTTCATAGTGTACGTAGATTCGACATATTCATTTGTTCACTCCCGTGCATTGAAGATTTAGACAATTCCGGCCAAAGTAAACACTAATGATACATAAGTAAAAAAGAAATGCTACATGAGAAGTGTTTGTACGTATTAAGTTTGTCGTCTTCGCAGGTCAGGTTGCTGAGAGCCAAAACTCGTCCCCCCTGCCGGGGTATGCTGGAAGATGCATAAACGGCTGAAGCACAAAAGAAAGGAACGGACTAACCTGAGCCTGATCCCAGTCCACCTCATCATCATCCTCCTCGTACCCCTTGCCGAGCTCTTCGCGTCCGATTCCGAGACCCCATCCACCTACGCTCACTCGCTGATTGGAGTTGTCGATATCTGGGCTCCTATTTTTGGCATTGGTTGGATTGAACTGATCTTATGACTCAAAGACTTACTTCAGCGCATCCAACAGCTCGCGTTCTCGCTCTACATCTGTCATGAGGCCTGAATTTCGTGGGGTCTCGTCTCCAAAGCCTTCAGATTCTTCACCACTAACTAGCACAACATTCTTGTTCTTCTGTGCTATTCGACCTCGTCTGTCCCTTGGTCGTGCACCGGACAAGAAGGTCGGCGCTCGAGTCAATGGTGCTGTTGGTCCCTTCGGGTGGGATGTTCCAGGGGGAGCCCGTACAACTCGAAGCAAATCTGAAATGGCGGCCTCTCCAGCGGTAGGTTGGGGTACAGGTGTTGTCAAGGAAAAGGTGACAGGTCTTTGTTGACTTTGCGAGGAAAGAACAAGAAGCCTGTCAACTCTTTCAGACAAACGAATGACATATTCAGACAGATGAAAACAAACATTTGCTGTAGACGAGGTTTCTGATTTGCGGTGCTTTCGTGGAAATCTCCCTGCCGACTCGTCGCCACCAATCGATTGTAGAGACGGGAGAAAAGTGGGACTATGACCTTGTCGCGAAATGCTCGCAGAGCAACCGTACGCACATCAATTGCCGAAGAAGATTGGAACACACTGGATGAAGAGATGGAACCTTTACTGGCTTGCCGTCCAGGGGACGTTGCGCGATGGGATTTGGGAGTGCGATAAAGGGAGGATAAAAGGGGGTCGGTTTGTAAGGGCAAAAGTGCCTAACAAGCTTAGTGGAGATGGATGTGTTCCAATTTGGGGACTTACACCTTCTACATAAGTCAGCACTTGATCCCAGAAGAATCTCCAAATCTCCACCACCCGTCCTATTAGTTTCTCGTCGTCAACGCCAGTGAGCTTTGCGTTCAACGTAACCATCCCGAGTACAATCAACTCTGCAGCGTCGCTTTCAAGAGTTGACAAGGCCTTTGAAGGCGAAGATGATACAACAGATTGTATATGTCGCTTGACAAGGACATTGAGATCCTCGCTGGGTAGATTTAATAGCTAATCAAGGGACTATACAACAGACTTACATAGGCCCTCGCAATGGCTCGCCGTTGAAAAGTGGTAAGACATAAACGTGAAGTGTCTCCCAAGGCTCTGTGGAGGGCTGGGATGCAAGACTGGCTTGGGCCATAGTTCCAGGTGCCGGTAATGATAGGGAGGCAGCGGAGGGGACGGATGCAAGGGGTGGTGCATGGCCTAGATTCCCGAGACGATGCATCTCACGGGAGACAAACTTGGAATCATATGTGCGTCCATATGACGCCTACAAGGCGGAATAAGCGACGAGATTCTTGATGGTCATCACCGATAAATGAAAGAGAGCACTTACCTTTGAGGGGGATGTATGCGACTTGGTTGTAGAGGCCATAGATATGCTAGTAGGTGCCAATGACTGCGGGGACGACCCAGGAGCAAAAGCGGATTCGGTGCGGGGTGCGCTCTTTTGGGAGGTAGTTCCGGACAGGGAAGAGGCCAACTTATCGGTGAAGAAGCCTAGCCTCTTTGAGGTAGAAAAGATGTCTGTGGATAGGAAGCTCTTTGAACTGTCCTGCTCGCTGCCGGGGGTGTTGGATGCGATGAAGCGGGTCGTGGCGGGTGTTTGCCGTGGAGTTGCATCACTCGACGACCTCCGCCTGTTTTCTGATCCATCCGGTGAAGAAGTCCTGCTGTTGTTCGCATCTACCTCGCTTTGCTCCTGCGATCTTCGGGGAGCATGAGAGCTGGAAGCCCATGCTGATATCATTGTGGTGGGTTGTCCGTCTCAAACCAGTTCGGGTGGCGCTCGCCGTCTGTCAGGGTTTAGAAGGAGCTTACGTGGTCAAACTGGGTGTTTGAGCCGTGTAAGGTATGGATAAATGGTCTGCACCGCGTCCCCAACGTCGGACGACTGTTGGATAGAATGATGAAGAGTCCCTGGACAGTGACAAGCATGTTGACGAAATAGGCCCTAATACTGTAGGCCACTCTCATTCTCCCACCTCATTTTATGTTGGCCAATTGCTGGCGTGGCCTATCACATCCAGTCACTCGTTTTCTGCGGGCCAAATCTAGTCGGATTCGACGCCCGTTCACTGTTCTCGCAGTCGAAAGTTCTGCAGATGATACCTGCGCTGCTGTAGTTCGGTCCAATCGTGAAATTCTTTCCAATGTCGTCATCAAGCAAAATCACTTGTACGTTCTTGTTTTTCGAGAATGGATGGAATTCATTATTCCCCAAAGGCATGAATCCTATGGGGGAATCCACCCTATGATAGCTATAGAAGCGCATCAACAAAACATGGTGGGTCCAGTCTCGTCTGTTCGTCCGCCTTTCAACTTATCATATCGGAAGCCCTTGGCCGTCCAAAGGGCATTGCGCGATGCAAATGTCGATATCACGAGAGATATTGATGGCATTGCGTTTACCCGAGGGCCAGGTATGCACATTCATGATTTACACCATCCTTCATCCACGCATAATGCCGTGAACAGGGATTGGAGGGTGTCTCAGCGTAGGGTCGAACGCTGCAAAAACACTTGCCTCTGCATTGAACAAACCTGTGGTTGGTGTGCATCACATGGTGGGTCACCGGTCATTTTGCATCGATGAATACCCTTTGGACTGAAGCTTTGCAGCAAGCTCATGCCTTGACGTCAGTTCTCACTTCTGGGCCAGATGTCCCGAGGTTTCCCTTCCTTACGCTTCTTGTTTCTGGGGGGCATACCCTGCTCCTGCTTGCAACCTCAGAAAAGTCATTTCGTGCACTAGCTACCACTCGTGATGAAAGTATTGGCCGGGCATTTGACAAGGTCTCGAGGATGCTCGAGCTTAAATGGTCGACCGGTGGTCCCGGAGCGGCGTTGGAGAAGTTCTGTGAGGCAGCACCGACATCAACACTTCCAGGTGTACCTGCGCTCCCCCTGCCGATGCCAAAGAAACTTGCGTTCTCTTATGCCGCTCTTCATTCACACGTGGAGAGATACATTCATGCATGCGGTGGCTCTCAGAATCTCGACCTTCCAACAAGGCAAGCTCTAGCTTGCGCGTTTCAAACAGCCGCAGCGGCTCAGCTTGAGGAAAAGCTTC